GTTCTGCGAAGACAGCTTGCTTGCAGTGAAATAATATTCCAGCCCAGCAAGCCAAAGATGAGGGCCTCTGGATTTATGAACTGGTACAGTAAGAGTAATAGTACTAACGGATCGAGACTTGCATTTACCATAGTGGAAGACCCATTACAATCCATGAAATAGTAGTCTGAAAATAACAAAATAGTGAAATTTATATAAATGAATATATCGAAAGACAAAGTTAACAAAGATGATGCTTACCATGAAAAACTGCAGGTTAAGCATTGATAAGGCACAAAGGAATGAGTTCAAAATATGTAATATGCATAGATCCACGAAAGTTATTATGATTATTCCCTTGGGTTCCAAGTGGAATTTAGGGCTTCAACAACACATCTCCACTTCTTTCTATTTTCTGCCGTCCTCTTCAGTTGGACACACGATATCCCATAATCTCTCTTCTCCTCCTCGCCACATGATCTCTTCTATGTCACCCTCACACTGACGGCCCACTCGTTGGTTCCCATTTGGATCACACTCGAGGCCCTGGTAAATATGTATTGAGAGGTGAGTACATGCATCTAGCTGACCTTTTTGAAGGAAGGAAAAAAAGCTTGGGTACGTCTCAGTTATTATCTGACTTATATTTTCAAACGCTTATTTTAGTCACTAAAAGGTAATATTGAATATCTGAATCAAGGTCGCGCATCACCAATGACAAGGTTACCACGCTGAGAAAATACGGAAATAAAGCTGACAAGCTTCTCCTCGGTGAGTCCGTACTTGGATTTTATTATGAAGTAGGTGGTTAGATGACCGCACTGAAGTTAAGCTTGTTCTGCCCCACGTCTAAACTCTCCTGCTTCTTAAAGATATTTTTGAGTAACCTTCGTGAAAAGGAGAGTGGCATTTTTTACATTGTGATGTATACTTCACAAGAAGTTATAACCTCTGATTTTGTGCATTTGGTTTACTTTAACTGATTTAATTAGTTGAAACACTATATATTGTTCACTTTTGTGACTTTTTGTGTGGATTTTATATCGCTGTTTTTGGTATACATATACATATATATAATTTATATATATAAATATATATATATATATATTTAAACAAATTATACCGATGTGAGTCTCACTAATAACTGCGGATAACCAAACTGACACTTTCCGGTGGATGATGGGTTGCAGTGTGATAACTGCAACCTGTGGTTTCAAAAAGTTTGCTCTGGCTTATCACCAGCCTATAAGGGATGTAGTAAGCCATCATCTCCGTGATTGTGCAGATTTTGCAGCAGCCTGTTGGACGTCCTCATCCAAGAGTCCGTAGGACTCCTCATGACCAGGAAATTGACAAAAATCTCGGACGAAAACTGAAATCGATGCCAGGAATAACGATTCTGGGCTCAGTCATAAGACTGAGACGAAACCACATCTCGAAACACTAGACGCAAAAGAAGCACGGTGTTCCAAAAAGTTTTCAACGGCACGCAAAATGTGTCGAAAATCTAAGAGGGTAAGCAGTGTCAACATTGTAAGACCGCCGGGTGATACTACAATTACGAGGCGTTGTGTGTCTGGAGAACGCATGGCTTCTATCTGCGGCGAGAGCAAAGCGGAGGGAACTAACTCCACTTGGTTTCTGCTGGAAATCAGGAAGCTGGAAAGCTATATAAAAGAGGAAACGATTGGGCGTAGTGACAAGGTCTCGACGGTTGCAAATACTAGTACGACTTCGAAACGTCGGACTCAAATTACACTATCATAATTTGGAACTTGGAGGAATCGAAGAAACTAGATCCAACTGCCCGACACACTGGTGGTTTTGAGTTGAAATAGCACTCACCGACTTCACTCTCTATTGAAAACATACTCCATTTGCTTGACGGCAGTTGGGCATGCTTGTTCTTATCGTGTGTACAGACGAAATGCATTTTGTATAACCCTTGTATTTGAGATTGCAAGGTTGGTGTCGTCATCCTCAACAATGTGACTAAAACTCTGGAAAGTTCCATGAGAGATAAGGAGTCACCCTGAGAAATAATGGTATTTACAAACTTATAGTTATCAAACTCGGGGTAAAATTTCTCTTAATTGCAAATACAACTTTCAACATCACAACAGAGTGGGGAAATCATGGCTAATTTATTATCCGTAGGTTCCTACAGTCAAGGTGCTACACTGCCGAACGTACAACAGAAACACTTAGGTAGCACTTTTCCCAATAAAGACTTTCATTGCGATGGAAAAGTTTCAGGGACGTGATTGACAAACTACTGAGTGGACCCACGGATCCCGATTATAGAGAAATCAACGTACTGCTTATTTTCATATTCAGTGCTATAGGTTTTAATACTGACTAATGATAAGATTCAGTGTAACAAGCTGACGTTTGGATAGCAGCTGAGCATCTATCACAACCTAAGAGAAATCCTGACAATAGTGTACTATCTAACATAGTGTGAGTACTGTTGTTATGAGAGTTAAAGTCACTGAACAACAGGATATTTATGTTAAAGTATGGAGTAATTTGGCTAATACTTCATACTTCTGTATATATTTGACTATACCTAAATATATCTGAAGTGTTGTAGATTCGATTTCCTTCCAGGGACCAACACTTTCCCAGCAGCGACTTCATACAGTTAGTTCCTCCGAAGAAATTTAAATAATGCAATAAGAACAACTTTTACAGGACAAGGTGAATTCGTTTTATTTCATAGGATTTTTGTTAGCTGCATACAGCCTGAAAAATAAAATGTGGAAGATGGAATTTTGTCCCTGATTATTTGTAGGCCGTCATTAATAGCTGTCAGCACCCCTTACTATTGATTCGTTTTCCTTGATAAGTTGAGAACACCATGATGGATACCGATACTAACAGTTTAACCATTTCAGAGTGCGTTATATTTATGAGTTTCTAAAGGGAATGGCTTGATCATACCAAGCTGTAAGTCTTCCAAACAAATTCTTCCACGATGTGATAGTATTCTATCGTGAGATACTACTTCACCGCAATTGATGGTTTCCGTTAGAAAACCGGACTGTCAGCTAGGAAACACTTGTCAAAACCTACCGAGGATGTAAACAGTTATGAATTGTATTAAGCAAACTAATTAAAACATTAACTAGCTTCTAGCCAGCACTTTGTAACCAATTGTCTTAATCCCTACGTCACAGCTGTACTAACTAACATTCTGATGCATTGGTGTAGTGTAAGACTTGGTGCTACTTTTCATGTGTACTGTTGTTAGCCTTTTAGAAGTTGTACTGGCAGATGCATCACTTGTTGAAAGGATATTGTGTTAATTTCCATCTGACTACATCTCATTGAGAATCGTTATTTTTCAGCATATAACTATTTACTGTTTTGCTTCTTTCTACTAATGACTACCCGACTAGGAGGACTAACTGACTGTGTGAGTATTTTCCTATAGTTACTAAAATATCGTCAAAACGTCCAAACCTGAGTGAGCATGGTAGTTTCTGTCTGTCTGTCTGGATTCAACATAGAACTTGGCACCGAAGTGCAGCAGTTCGAGTTGCCACGTTCCAAATAGCACACAAAGGTAGACAGAAAAATGAGAGAAGAGAATCAATAGAATTTAGATAAGTATAAGAGTGAAACAGAATGAGTAATGGTAGAAAGGAATATGAAGGTTAAAGAGACTGAATACATCTGCGTAAGCCATTGACAACGATTTTGAGCCATGTCACCTATTGTCTCCAGCCATTGATTCTTAGAGTCCCGAGGGTGGCCCCAACCCGGAAGTCTGCATCTCCCAACCTGACTCAGTTTAACTGTCAGGGATTTCATGGATTGATGAGGCCATGTTTTTGTTTGGCCACCACTTACTCTTTTCCAACCTGCACCTATATCAGCTAGTAATGCCCGTCGGGGGAGACGATGGTTAGGCATGCGCAGCACGTGGCCTAACTATCTCAGTCTATGTAACTTTATGGCCTCTTCGAGTGATTTTCCCTCTTTGCCCAACATTCTACGCCTAACGTCAACATTACTTACCTTATTATACCACCTAACGCGAGAAAGAGATCGTAAACATCTGTGGTCAAAAACAGACAATCTCTTCATGTCTTCCGCTCTCAATGTCCACGACTCACCACCATAGAGAAGGACAGAGCGAACTGCTGAGCAGTATACACGTCCCTTGGTTGACAGTCGGATGTCACGCCTACGCCAGATGGTAGTTTGAAATTTGTGACTACATCTGAAGTGGTTACACTTCTAACACACTTCTAACGAATTGGTCAGATCATTCAACTAGTATAATTTTGTGTACCACTCTTGAGTGGTTACAAGTCGAGTTTTGTCATTACTTATTTTTAATATCTCATAAGCTAAGGTAACCTACACCTGTGCATACGTCGCATTTGTATTGGTGATCTCGTCGTCGTGGATTAAGAGGTAGGTAACTGTTATACCACTGGTTCTTTTCACTGATAACTAGGCGTGTTGTCGATGCCACAGGTGGAGTAAGGTGGCAAGTGATTGATTAATGTGACCGATCGCATATCCCATGAAAGGTTGACGCTGAGAATACCCAGACTTCTGCATGCTTAGTGATCATATATGAGTTGCGGTTTTCATTTTCTCGATACAAGTGGTTGCTTACAAAACTAGTCTGTTATCGGTACTTCAGTCACTAGTAAAAGTAGGGAAGCAATTCAATTCGTTGAGCGCTTTTCACACCTTAAAAATGCTGAAGATGTAACGCGTTGGTAAAGGAATCCTCAAGCTATACAATTTATAGTAACAATGGGATATCCAAACACCTACTTAAAATCGAGTGTAGTACTCTGCAGGATGTTTAAACCTATTGTGTAAGGTCATGATCTAAATTGCGTCAGCCTAGGTGGGCACCGTATTAACCCTCCCGTGTCCCCCACCCCCAGAGAAATTGAGGCCTATATTAAAGTCTTGTAGTTAGTTTACCTTTCATCACTGACACAGTCATTTTTATTATTATTCATTGATTTTTACCAGGTTTCCAATAATCCGCTATGTATAGATTTTCTCAACTTGTTGACTCATCTGAGCTTCGTGAACAATTTGTTGATTTGACATTGAAGTCTGAATCTCAAACAGTGGAAGATGATAAATGTTCGCGTTCGGCTACTACAAAATCTAAGAAAGGAAAACATCGCAATACTTCAAAGGATCTAAGAGAATCTGGCAAATCGTGTAATTCTGGCAGTGTTTTGAAAGGTATGTTGTTGTACTAGCTTTTCTTCAGTTACACATTTTTATAAAATGGCATTTCAGCCGTTTAATGTTCATATGTCAGTTGAGTAAAAATCGTAATTCCCTTAATGCTGTCAAAACTTAGGAGTAGTAGCTGGTTTTAACCAGCTGCTATGTAGTGATGTGTAGACTGCCAGACTAGTTGGTGTCTTCGAGATGCTAAGAACAAATGGCTGGAGACTATTGATGATATTTATTGCTCAAAATTGTTGTCAATGGCACAGATGAATTTCCTCTTTGTAATTTCCTCAATCCATTAAATCCTCATTTATTGTCCACCCATGTGATTATTCTTTGTCGTGTACATCCCTGTTCATTATTATTATTTTTATTATTGTTCCCTTGGGTTCCAAGTGGAGCATAGTGCTTCAACAGCACATCTCCACTTTGTCCTATTCTCTGCTGTCCTCTTCAGCCAACCTCTTGATTCCCCATAGTCTCTCATCTCGTTCTCCCCAAGTGACCTCCATGTCACAGAGTCTCAGACCCACGCCCAACTCATCGTTTTCCATTTTTGCTCTACTCAAGTGATGGATTGGCGCTCCATGTCATTCGATGGTCTCCTCAGTAGCATGTGTCCAATTATTCTCTATCTCGATGGGCATATTTGTTGAGGAATAGGTTCTCGACTGGTTAGTTTCCGGAGTTTTTTGTTGGTGATTCTGTCTGGCCAGTTAGTCGATTGACCTTCAGTATGGAGCCAGTGAAAGCAGCTGTTGATAAAAGTCTGCAACAGTCTATTGGTAAAGATTTTGGTAACAAACGCGCTGAGTTTTTGATCCATATAGAAGATATGACTAACTGACTGACTTAACATTTGTGTTGAAAATCCGAATCTCGTCGTTTATGCTGAGGTGGAGTGTAGAAGACTTCCAAACTAATTTCAGAGTGATAAACGTCTCTCCGTCATGGCCTTCCCATCTTGACTGACTGACTGGCTTTGACATTCTCACTCTTGCTGCCCGCCTGTAGTTGAAAGGATGGTGCCTAGCGAGATAAGTGAAGGAAGTGACATCTTTGAAATTTCTGCCGCTGATGGTGATTGATGTTTGTTGATTTTGTTGTTGGTTGGCTACTTTCATCATCTCCGTGTTCTCTACGTCCACTTGAAGTCTTGTCCTTGCTGCCTGACTTTTCTGTCAACCTGTTGGGTCTTCTCCTGTAATTCTTCCAGTTTGTTTGACATTCGACATAAATCATCCACGAAATCCAGATCTTCTAGAGTCTTTTCATCAGTCCAACGTATTTCTGTCTTCTCACTTACCACAGTCTTCCGTATAATCCAGTCCACCACAATTATGAATATCATCAGCGCTGATAATAGACAGCCTTGTCTTACTCCTGGTTTCTCTTCAACTGCATCGCTGAGTTTTTTGTTGTGGATCACTTGAGGTGTGGCATTGTCATATAGCTGTGGTTGATCGAGGTTGATAAATATTTCAAGGTACTCTACTGCACTCCATAGTGTTGAAGTAGTTCCCAAATTACTCTCCGGTCAACGTTGTTGAAGGCCTTTTCAAGTTGGATAAAATTGAGGCAGAGGTTTGACTGCCTGTCCTCATTGCAGTTCTTTTCAATCCCTTTTTGCTGTCATTTGTCTAACTTTGTGTGCTACATGCGGTGTTGTAGTTTGAAGTGCTTCACTTCTCCACAGGGTTCTATGTTGAAACTTATTCAGTCAGTTAGTCTAACCCTTAGTCAGTCAGTGGTTCGAATCTTTTAGAGACCCATGTTTCTTCTTTTCATAATCACTCTTCATCAATGTCATTATCAATGTGATTTGAGCAAATCTGACCAAAACTCATTGGTTAAATCTCTATGGTTTATTTCATGACTAACTTTTAACTCTACTTACTCTCATTTTCTATCCGTTATATCGAATCAACTATTCATCATCATGTAACTTAGCTGGCTAATTGTCAACTTTCTCGATTCCTTAACGATAATTTTTTAATAATAATAATTTGCTTTATTCCAAAACAGTACTTGTGATACAGAATGGAATTCTCAGCATTTTTACTACAGTATTGCATCCAGTTAGTACATTATCAATAAATATAATTCTACATAGATTAAGGAAATCTCAGTTCATTATTACAACAACACATTGGCATGTCGGTAGCAAAGGTAAAGTTGAACAGTGTTTGAAAGTGTTAGAAAAGTGGGAGCTGTCATATTTACTGGCGTAAGCGGGAGAAAAAAACAAAGCAGCACATAACGGAAAAAAGAGAAAAAAGGGAGAGAAAAGGAAAAGAAAGAAAACATTGTACCTATAAATTATATGAGTTGGAAAGACGAGATCCAGTTGTACTACTGACTATTCAATAAGTTATAGGTGTCACGCCTAATGCTTTCTTTATCACACAGAACACGAGCTAAGTAGGGTATGGTTGAGCTTTTGTACTTGCTGGTGCGAGCATATAGTTTTCTATATAGGCTTCTGGTTTTGCCTGATGAGATGCAAAGGGAGAGTTGTGAATGAAGAGGGTGGTGTGAGTTAGATAAAATGGATTTGGCCCATTTTTCACATGAGTCCATGTGCCTGTCAACCAGAGTATTAACAAGCTGGTTAAGTGGCACACTGCTTACCCTGCTGACAACCTTTAACATCCTGCGTAATATGTTATAGTCTTTCTTCAGTAGCCCGAGAAAAACTAAGGGGGAACAATAGAGAATAATAGGCAGAATGCGAGAATTAACGAATTGTAGGAGTAAGGGTTGGGTTATACCAGAATGTCTTAACTTCTTGATGTAGAAGGTAAGATGGAATATTTTCTTAGAAATCGCTAAGATATGAGATGGCCATTGAATTGGTTTTGTTGCTAACTGGTAGTAAGCTTCGACCTTTGTTAATAAACAAAATTGTACATTGAACAACAGGTCGAACTCGCTGATGACATTGGTTAGTCCCAATTGCGCTATATCGTGAATTGGCAGAAGTTGGAATTCATGGGCTTGTCATTGGATTGGGTCACCGTGGCCTAATGGTTTACGAGCTAACTCGCCTTTTAACCAGAAGGCGCTGGGTTCAAACCCTGGTGGTGGGTGCATGCTGACTGCTGAAGAGTTCCAAACTAAGCTGACGAAACAACTGGCTGTCCAGTACTCCCTGGTGGTTCTCTAATCGATGCCAGCTCATTCTGAAACCCTGTAACCAATCAAATTCCTGCAAACCAACACTTGGAAACACCTAAATAGCTAGCTGTACAGATAGAGAAGTTGTGAAATGAGATCTCCTTTTTTTTGCTGACTTACGAATGGTTACTTTTGGAACTAAAAATGATGAATCGAAGATAAGATAGGATGAGATAAGACAGTTTGCTGAACACATTATCGATTGATTTTTGTTGTTGTTGTTGTTGTAGCTGCTCAGCTACTCAGTGTTCATCATTCTAGTTGCTTTTTATCCCTGTTCATTCATTTCACAATTTTGTTTTAGACAGCGGTGATGTTACAAAAATTGATGATTACTGCCACCACCACCTATACCTTGAACCGTGTGGATTTCGTAATGTTAGAAATTCGTGTTTTCTCAATGCTTCACTACAGCTGTTACTGAATATTCCACCTTTATGTACAGCTGTAAACAAATACACGAATGTGTCGATCAATAATGATGATGATGGTGTATCGGACACCAATGACAACAAGAAGACACCATTAATCAATCAATTGTAAGTGATAAAATATTGACTCTTTTTGCATTGTTTATATTGGACATGACAGTGCTGGAAATCTCCCTCACCCACCTCCGCACACTAGTAATATCCAACACTCAATAACTAAATATAAGATAATCAGGATAGTAAAGGAGTTTCATATGTGCGTACGTGTGTGTGTATGAGTACATTCCAGGATTTATGAAAGTTCAAAACTTGTTTGACTAATTTATATGTAATAAATGGGTAGGAAAGTTCCAGAATAATTTCTGGTCAGGGGTCAGATTAATGGAATTACAATTAGGAATTAAAATGCCCTAATAAACAGGTTGGGGGACGAATAAAGCTCAGACAAAGTAGCATCATAATTACTGAGAAGATTGACATTGATTGTGCAATTAGGGGTTAGAAATGTAGAAATAACAACAATAGACAGGATGTTTGGATAACAAAATCTAGTGGGATCATAACTAATGTGACGAATAATTGTTTATGCAGTTAGGGATTAAATATGTAGAAGTAATAAAATGACAAAATAGACAGGCAGTTCGGATATGAAAATATGGTTAGTGTAAGTAGGGATTAAGAAAAACTTCAAATAACATGAATAAACAGGAAGTTTGGATAAGAAAGGCAATGGGATGGTCACTACTAAAAGAATTACCTGTTTATGATGGCCATGGCAGGGACAAGGGTTGGACGTATTTCTTTTTGGATACATAGCGTGGGTTTGAGCTTTTGGATAGCTAGTGCCTCGCTATGTCCAGATGTCTTAATTTTACTCCCTTTGATAGGTTTGATCGAATCCTGCATATTATTTTGAAGGAGTTTTCGAATGGCGCTGAATGTCCTGAATTGACCAGATGTTCTGTCTCTGAGCTATATACACGTTTTCGTACTCCTTTTACTAGCCAGGCTGGATAGTGTTCACGAGCGCGTTTTCCAAGTTGGTGCATGGCAAGTAAACTGATATATGCACGTTAAAGTGGCCCGAAGCGACAGCTTGTCTTCCGCGTTCTTGCTGAACAGTTTCTTTCAGGAAAACGTTAGTCGTAGGCTTGTGGCGAAGTATGTCTTCCTCAGAGATTTGCAGAGGTGTTTACGAAGGATTTCTGCTTCAATGTCACCTTTGAATTCTAGATTAAGCAGAAGTATCTTCTTCGGGACAGATTGAACTTGTTCAGAAGTCTTCTTTGATTTGAGGTTCTTGTCTATGAACCTAGGCGGAAAACCGTTTTCCATCAGGCTTCTTCGGAGATTACTCAGTTCTTCATCAATCACCTCCTCGCTGCATATCTTCCGACGATCTCCATCTCTACAAGAGATACATTGATGATACTTTCATCATTTGTGATGAGAACCTGGACCTTGAAAACTTACTTCAAACGTTCAACAATGCCCACCAAAACATCGATTTTACTCTTGAAGCCGAATCCAACGGAATGTTCCACTTCCTCGACGTCCATCTGACAAGAAACGCCGAAAACTCTCTGAAAAGGTCCATATACAAAAAGCCTACATGGACTGGACAATTCATCAACTTTCAAAGCTTCGTGCCCCTAAGCAGAAAGAGGAACCTGATATACGCTCTTTCCTCGAGGATTCGGAAGATATGCAGCGAGGAAGTGATTGACGAAGAACTGCGTAATCAGTATAATAAAGGAGTCTCATATGTGTGCGTGTGTGTGTGTGTGCGTACACTCCAGGATTTATGAGAGTTCAAAACTTGATTGACTAATTTTCATGCGGTTACTTGGTTTTCTTGCCATTTCATGAAGTTGAATACATTTTTTACAACAAATAATAAGTGTTGTGAATAAAGTAGGCTTTAATGAAGTCATCAACTATTCGGTAGAACTCTTCAGCTGAATAGCCAACTTCTGTCTCCTTTCTAACTTACAGTTAGTCATCCCTTCTTACACCTAACATTATGTAATACAATTTTCCAAGGAAAAATTTACCAGTATCTGATTGATCTAAAGATTTCTTTGTTAATTATAATTACGATTGTACAGCTCATGAAAATGAATCGTCGAAAAGAAAATTTTCTTCGCTGTTTATGCCTTTTTCTTATCAATAATATTACTAATAGTGTAACAACAGAAGACAAGGGCCAGGCAACAGATCGTTTATTAAGGAAGTCAACACATATTTATAGATTTTCATGTACATTATTATAGATTATTGTTAGCAGAAAAACACAGTCTTCTGATTGTGGTTGTTTCTCACTGCAAGTTAATCTTTCATCTCTTTGTGGCTGTTTCTTGAATGTCAGATCATCTATATGCTAACTGTATCCGCCTACGCAAAGTCTGCTGTGGTTGGTTGTTGAATCAGTCTTTGTTCATATTTTTCTCACGATCAATATTGAGGACGTAAACATCTACCGATTTGGCTAGCAGCCAATTCTCACCACAAATAGTAGTAATACCAGTTAATAAGTAAAACATACTACCATGGTATATTCAGAGTGATCACCATTTCCTTTTGTACACAGAAACCTGATTTATAAACTCGTTTTGCACAAGCCTCCGTAGTTGCAAGCATCTTCTTGTTTGTTTGTCAGATGACAACAGTGAATGACTTGACAGAGTCAATATCATATCTGTGGTTCACAAGATGCTTTGTTATTGAACTTTTAGGCACTTTGACTTCAGGTGTTTTCAACCACTTTGGCAAGTGCTCCATCAATCGCTTTTCTGTATGACCTATGTATTTGTTTCCACAAACGCATTCATCAAATTGATATATGCAGTTTGAAGTGTCGAGGACTGGCAACTGATCTTTCCCAGATTGTTGAAGCACTCGCTTTGGAGCATAATAAGATCTCCTGAGAGCTTTGTCGAGTCTTCTTTACTTACTTACTTTACTTCGGCTATCTCCTACGGGAGGATGAGCCGGCTTCATGAACATCTCGAATCATCGCTGCCCAGGCGCGGCGATCTGATGCAAGGTTTTGCGTCGTTTGTAAAAGAGTTCATGAAGTTTCATGGGAATTTGGTACGAGTGATGTCCCCAGAATCGCTCGGCCTTTTGTTTGAGAGTGCAGCTCTAGCCTTTACACAACCAAGTGTGATCTACAAGGCAGTAGGAGTGGAGTAGGGAGTCCACTATCTATTGGCAGCCGGTGACCAGAGTTCGGTTCATACGCCTTTTTGAATGGGGCCAGACATCCAGGACATCCAACAAGCCCTTTGTCCATACGTCTGCCGGTGGGCTCCAATGAGCTTCATACGCCAGTTGTTGGAGGTTTGGAATCAGGATTTAGCCATCTCCCCTAGACTGTCATCCAATGGACAGTCAACCCGGTGAAGAGCGCCGGGTATCCGCTTTCGCCCTCTCACTTTGGTGAGAAACACCTCCGCCAAGTGAAGGCAGTGAGTAGGACTTCCTCAGGAGAGGCTATGTAAGACGCCCGGTCATATGGGAGCATTTCAAGAGGTGTGCGGAGGGGTGGCCAACCCGCAGCGCAAGGCACCCACCCCCGACCATCCTGAGGCTTTGGAGTCTTCGTTTAATTATCTCTTGTACATCATCTCCTTTGAATGACAAATTGATGTAGACAGATTTCTTTGGAACTGTTTGGATAGTTTTGTTGGGGCTAATATCTTTAGAGCATTTATTAATGAACTTCTCAGGATGTCCATTCTTAAAGAAAATATCCTTTTGAGTCTTTATTTCACGTTGAGTTATACTGTCAGAACAGTGTTTTCGTGCTCTATTGAACAGTGTTTTAACTAAGTTCCTTTATATGCTGGATTGGAACAAAGCTTTTGAAATGTATGTACTATTCCATCCATGAAGACTTCCTAAATGTAGATCTTTCCATTGTGCCATCAGTCTTCCTTCACTAGAGAAACATCTAGGAATTTATTATTATTATTGTTTCCTTTAATTCCTAGAGGAACATAGGGCTTCAGCCGTGCATCTCCATTGCGTTCGGTTCTCTGCTAGAGTCTTCACCTGGCTCCATGTCTGCCCACACGTTTTCATCTCCTCTTCACATGACCTACTCCAAGTCACCCTTGCGATGACGACCAACTCGCCGCTTCCCTTTCGGGTTCCACTCGAGCGATGGCTTGTCTAGTGATGTCACTCACTTGATGGTTTCCTCAGAGTATGGCCAATCCATCTCCATTTCTTCCTGCTTATTTGTTTCACAATCGGTTCCTGGTTGGTTCGCTCATTGCCAGAGATCTCTGTTGCTGATCTTTTCTCGCTGGCCATCTGATCTTGAGTATTGAGCGAAGACAACTGTTAATGAAGGTTTGTAGTTTGTTTGAGATGCTCTTTATGACGCGCAGTGCAATTCTCTGATCCGTATAGTGAGTAGCACTGACTTCACATTGGAGTTGAAAATCCGGATCTTATTTTTGATGTTGAGTGCTGTTGACCTCCACACAGACTTGAGAGTAGTGAAAGCTTGTCTTGCTTTTCCGATTCTTGCTTTGATATCCTCGTCAGTTCCGCCTGTAGTGGTATCATTTTCCTTTTGTTCTATTGTGAAGTTAAGACTCGGATGAAATGAGTTGAATTTTGTCAGTAGGTCTTCAGCTTTTGATTTACTTTCACTGACAATAAAAATATCATCAACGTGTCTTAGGTATAATTCCATTTGTTGTATATGCTCTGTTGCAAACTACCGGCTTCTGGGCCTGACCAAGAATAAATCTCTAAAAGGTGGTTGCTAGTGGCTTCCAATTGCAACACCGTCAACTTGGTGGTAGAGACGCCCATCGAATTGAACTTGGACATTATTAGTACAGAAAAGCAACAATTTCCATTTTGAACAAAGCAAGAACAACAATTGTACCAGGATAATATGAGCTCATCTTTTATTATTTCGAGGATTCTTCTCAACTGGTTACAACCTGAACGATAAAAAAAATATGAATTACATTACATTAAAGATTTGAACATACTTTTTCACGATCACAAGGAGTAATTGGTAGGAAGTAAAAGTAACATTAGTCCGGAATGATTTAACTAATTAAGAGTTACAAACACTGACTATTTATAGAATAATCCAAATGAACTGTGATCAATATTTGACAGTTTATAGATATTTATAGAATAATTAGGTAATTAGGCTTGGAAACAAAAACAAAGTTGCATATATATATGTGTATAGAAACAAGGTTTAGCTAGACAGAGCATAAAAAAAGGTAGATTACGTAACTAAAGAAAATGCTTTATCTAATAGCCAATAGAAAAAAGGAAGAGAAAAGAACAAGTAAGGGTGAGTCATGTTTAGATGAGAGAGTAGAGTTTTCTAAACAAGAAAAAGGTGACTCATACAAGTTGTATATTTTGTTGTCACCAGGGCAGTGCAAGATTCACCACTGTCTCTTTCTGCGTACATAGATTTGGTTTAAGTCGTCTGATAGCAATTGCTTCAGCAAAGCGTAGCAAGTTAGGTTTCTTTTGCTTGTTGATTATTTTGAATGACTTCAAGTTGTCTACATTATGACCAGTGTCTAATAGATGACGCGCAATTGCACTGTTTAATACTTGTGGACCTTTCAGTTTCAGGTTCTTTGGTATGTGTTCAGAAATGCGGACAATAATCCTTCTCTCTGTTCTTCCAATGTATGTGCTTTGGCACGTACATGTAAATTGGTAGACACAGTTGGAGGTAACATGAGGTGGGTATTTGTCCACTTTTGATTGTCTCAAACAACTAGTTGTTTGATAAACACATACAAGCTTGGCGGCTGGATATGTTCTTTTCAGGGCAGCGTTCCATTTATGGAGAATTGTCTTGCCTTCCTATATTTCGCGTAACTTGCTAACGTTATCACTGATAATTTCGATCTAATTCAGCATTTTACTCCAACCTCCTTTATGACTATGATGAGGCATTGTGGCCATTGAAAGTGGAAGACATGAAAAGCCGATCTAGTTGTCTTTGATCATAGTTGTCTGCATTCTACCCTTCCCCCTCCCCCTCCCATGTTAGGTGGTATAATAGAGTGAGTAATATATTGAGGTTGGGCGTCGGGTGTTAGGTGAGGAGGGACAATATAACGATAAGGCTGTAAAGCTACATCGATTGAGATAGACGGATAGGACATGTGTTACGCGCATGCTTAGCCATTACCCTCCTAGACGGACAATGTTAGCTGACATTATAGGATTAGGGTGGAAAGAGCTAGTGGTGATCACGCGAAAACATGGCATCAGTCCATGAGGTTCTCCCGAATTTCGTTTTTGGTCTTTTCTTTTCATTTACGTGCTTCATGCGGAGTGTGGCAACTCGAACTGTTGCACTTCTGTGCAAAGTTCTGTGTTGAAACCAGTTAGTCAGTCAGTCAGCCAGTTTATGTGTAGTTTTACTGTTTATCCGTCTTTTTTAATAGTTTTCTTACATATCCGTGATTTCAATATATTAAATATTGCCGTAGTAAAATTTAGAACAACACATTTAAGCGAACAATATTGTTTTCAATTAGATCTCATCAGGCTTAACTCTAATATACGTACATAACTTCACAAATAAATATTCAAATATAAACCAATCATGGTATTTTTTATATAATAAGATTGTGCATATAAATTGTACAATTAGTCATAATAGCAGTAATAATAATAATGGTTCTATCAATAATAAGGATGAAAAGTGAGGAGATCTGTGATATCAAAAATAATGAAAACAGCATGATAAACAAACAAATGTTCAGGTAGAAGTAGTAGTCGATAAAGGTGGTCGGTTTTCGACATAGAACTTTGCACATATGTGCGGCAGTTCAAGTCGCCACACTCCATGTAGCAAACAAAGCAAGAGAAGAAAGTAGAAGAAATGCATAATATAGTCAGTAAACAGAAGTGTGAGATAAAGGAATAGTAATAACGAAGAACAAAAGTTTAATTGGAAATCATAAGTCACAAGGAGTGGATGCATATGCGCCATCATCGAGAACGATTTTGAGACATGTCACCAATTGTTTCCAACCATTGGTTTTTACCGTCCCGAGGACCCCAACCAGGAAGTCTACACCTTCGTACGATAGCTTAAACTAACTGTTGTGGATTCCACTGACTGGTGCCATGTTTTGGTTTGACCGCCACTAGCTCTTTTCCAGTCTGGCCCTATATCAGCTAACATTGCACGTCGAGGAAGGCGATGACTAGGCATACGTAGCACATGTCCTAACCATCTCAGTCGATGTAATTTCACAGTTTCGTCGACTGATTTCCCCGCCTTACCTAGCACTCGACGCCTAACCTCAATATTGCTCACTTTATTATACCAATTCACGCGAGAGATAGAACGCAGACACCTATGATCGAAGACAGATAATCTTTTCATGTCTTCCACTCTCAATGGCCATGTCTCACAGTCATAAAGGAGGACGGAGCGGACTGATGAGCAGTACACAGGCCCTTTGATCGATAGTCGGATATCGCGTCTACGCCAGAGACGGTGTAAACTGGCGAACCTAGCCCTCTGTATTCGTGCTGAGATTTCATCGGAGATCAAGCCGTTGGGGCTGATGGTACTTACCAACAAATGAACCGACTAAGTAATGCTAGATTGTAAGGGAAGTAAATAAAACACGTTTATAATGAAGATAAGATTAAGGGATTATTAGAAAGGGGTTGAAAATATAAACAAGGGTTTAGAAGTCATTAGTTGGTTATGTCTTAATAAGCCAAGGAGGATAATGGCTGTGCGAACTTTTTTGAATACATAGTTTAGGTTTAATAGTTCGAATGCCTATTGCCTTAGCTGTGTGCAATAAACGAATACGAAGTCTAATGGAAAGATTCGGTGGGATACGATGAATCACTTTGAACGCTCTCGTTTTGTCGATTACATGACCACTATCAATTGAGTGTGACAAAATTGAGCTATGGATTGTTTTTGTCTGTACTTTACCAAACCACGATGGGAGATGTTCACTAACACGTTGGCTAAGCTGTCTGGTAGTACGCCCAATATAACTGTCACCGCAGGTGCAGTTGAATTGATAAATGCACATAGATGTGTCAAAACTATCAAGCTTATCCTTCGTTTGCGTCCCAATCATTCATCGGCTAGGAATGACAACGTAGGTGTGCTGCATAAAATGTTCTTCGTATACTCCTTGAAAGTCTTTGGAATAAAATCTCACTTGGTAAGTCACCATTAAATTGTAACTTAATAAATAGAGGTGATTGATATAACGTCGTCACTCCTATAATCACACATGATTAATCCATTTAATGTCGAAAAACAAAGTCGAGATTTCAGTTAGTTATTATTACTATTATTATTACTCATTATTTATTACTTCCATCATAATAGGCTCGAACTAATAGACCAGCTGAAGCCCCGCACAGAATGCAATGATACCACCACGCCCACTCCACCACCACCACCACAACAACAGCAACAAATAAGTGTCGCCAGCCTCGTGAATCACCACCTAATAAAACAAAAGCTCGTAGTGGTGTTGTTGTTGCTGCTGGCAACTCCATTTCTTCCAATTCTAAATTGTCCAATCATGGGAACGGTGTACAACCGTACGCGTTAAATCATTCGCTTACATTGAATCCAATCTTTGCACAACTACTTCATATGGATTCAGGTGTTCAAGAAGATACTGCTGTAAGTGATGATGATGATGATGATGAATGCATTCCTTGCTTGTTTGTTTGTGTATTGCTTCTTTTACTTCTTCACAGTCTAAGAGAGACAGGGTTGCTTGCACTCAACTGGTGGAGAAATTCTTTGCTTTGTTACTTAAGTGAATGAATGTCATTCTACTTATTTATTTTAAAAGTAGTCAGTTTATAGAAACATTAAAAAAAATATTTCCATAATGATAATTACAGAACACACGATTTAAGCAATCACATACGTATTTTCAGTAAATTCTCATCAGGCTTCACATCTACATCATAGGCATTTGAATCAATGTGGTTAATAAAATGTAGGATCAGAGTTCAGGGATGTGAATTAATGGATAGCAACCGAGGTGATCAGAATAATAATATAGGTAGTGTTCGCTGCATAGGTAGAATGTGTATACTAGTAGGGGTAGAGGGGAAATAACTATTGTCACATAGCGATTAGATAATATAATAATAATAAATTGTGCAACCGTCTGTCTGTCTGTCTGTTTCGATTCAACATAGAACTTGGCACCGAAGTGCAGCAGTTCGAGTTGCCACGTTTCAAATAGCACACAAAGGTGAGTGAAGAGAATCAATAGAGTTTTGACAAGTATAAGAGTGAAACAGAATGAGTAATGGTAGAAAGGAATATGAAAGATTACAGAGACTGAATACATCTGCGTAAGCCATTGACAACGATTTTGAGCCATGTCACCTATTGTCTCCAGCCATTGATTCTTAGAGTCCCGATGGCGGGCCCCAACCCGGAAGTCTGCATCTCCCTACCTGACTCAGTTTAACTGTCAAGGATTTCATGGATTGATGAGGCCATGTTTTTGTTTGGCCACCACTTACTCTTTTCCAACCTGCACCTATATCAGCTAGTAATGCCCGTCGGGGGAGGCGATGGTTAGGCATGTGCAATGGAGACAGAAATGTACAACTACAGCACAGCATAATATTGATAATACAGTTAGCATTACAAATAAAATAAAAATATAATGAGATAATATGTACAGCTCTTAGGGTGTTACTGGGAGAGATAACTAGTTTAAGTTCAGGACGAGGACCAAGAGAGACAGAGCATTGTGCAACGTGGTGCAACGTGTGTGCGTTGGTGGCACAGTGGTTAGGACTCTCGCCGACCATGCACATAGTCCGCGGCTCGATCCCCTGCCGGCGCACACCCGATATCTATGGTCGGCCTGAAATTCGGGCTACCGATATCCATGCTGAAAATTCCATACTTGTACTGAAAATACGGTGTGGAATCAAGCTGTAATCAAAATAAAAAAATAATAAACAAAATGGCAAAGGAGTTGTGTAAAGTCAATCAGAAGTTGTTCCATACTGGCACACCTAGGGGGTATAGATTACAAGATTGACAAAACTTCAGCTTTTACAATTATATACAGAGTGCCGCACTTCAACTCTCTAGGTTGATACGTCTTCGGTTGCTAAGCCTAGCTGAGGCAGTTGCCATGACGATTTTTCAACCCAATCTCTGTGTTCAGAAACAGTTTTTGTTCAATCACTCTCCCTCCCTTGGCCTTCGCTCCCAAAGTAAAATAGTTATCCCTCCCTGTGACACCCGGATAACTGTGCATATTGTATGTATTCTTACTTTATTTTTATTTTATATTTTATTTGTAATGCTAACTGTATTGTCAATATCATGCTGTGCTGTAGTTGTACATTTCAATCTCGGTCTCACAATTTATCGCTATTATTATTATTATATTATCTAATCGCTATATGATAACAGTTATTTTCCTCTTTACCTCTACTAGTATAGACATTCTACCTATGCAGCGAACACTACCTATATTATTATTCTGATCACCTCGATTGTTATCCACTAATTGACATCCCTGAACTCTAATCCTACATATTTTATTAACCACACTAATTCAAATCCCTCTGACTAATATTTGATTATGTAGATGTAAAGCCTGATGAGAATTTATCGAAAATACGTGTTTGATTGCCTAAATTGTGTGTTCTATAAACATTTATTTATATGATTCAGGAATTAAATTTATGCACCCACTTATAATACACTAAATTGTGAGTTATGTGTAGGCGAAGAATCAGCTGTGACACTCACTCGTAAGGTGCATCTGGCCGACTCATTATTTTGGTCTGGTGTGGTTAAGTGATGAATAAGCACACTCAGGTCTTGTCTGTGTTTGTCTCCAAAACACAACATACATCAATGACCCGTGATGCCATCATAGTTCTGTTCTGGCTAGTAGTGAAGCGTGTTTTTGCGATTTGGAAGAAATGGTTTGAGACAATAAATGCTGTAATATGATGTTAGCGGCGTGTGGCTTTAAGAAAATATGAATAGTATTTCCCAGGGTGTAGCTGCTAATAAATAAAGAAGGTTGGAGAGCTAGGGGGAGGTGAAGTGAATATTTGTGGAATGGTATCAAGAGTGGAAGGAAAGCAAGAAGGTGAATGTGGGTGAGTGTGAGTGATGATCAGGAAAGCTTTGTTTGCTAATAGGGATGTGTGGGTGGTTATTACTTCTTGGCTTCCCACACTGTGGAAGTTGGTTTCTTTTCGGACTACCTGAACTAGTAGTAGTATAAGTGTGGCCTGGTCACAGAGCACAGGGGACATCTGGTTGAGACCAGTCACACACACACACACACCCACACAGCCTATTTGAATTTATTTTGTACTTGTGTCTATATTAAGATTTTATCACCAGTTGCAGACACCGGCGCCTCGTAAATCGGGATATACAATTTTCCGGGTCTTTCTTTTCTAATCGGTCCCCGTCTCTCGAGAGCGGAGAGGTAGCATAGCTGGATTTTGGGTCAGCTGAGTGGAACGCCTTACTACTGTTACATGCCTATTCGCTGGCAATACGACTTCATCCATAGACTTCCAACATAGGCCAAAGATTACGTAATCAAATGAGAGAGAAAAGATATATCTAGGCTGGTAACTGCTCCGTTCTGAACACATAAATCGGGTTTCAGGCATATGATAAAGATTGCTTCGGGAAACTTGGAGAGAATTGATCTATTTTGGTCTATTGATAATTTTAAGGAATTTGGCGATTTCCACTTCATGAAGCGTATCAAGGAGATGCCTGGCAATGGCACTGTTAAAAGTGTTTTTGTTCCCTTGAGACGTAGACTTTTTAGTACGTGTTCAGAAAATTGGTGTGGCCTTTTTTCTTTTCTTTAAATGTGGTTGCTTCTGCAGATAGATGTAAATTTGTATAGACAGCTGTAGTTAACATGATAAGGGTATCTATCGACTTCTGATTCCACCAAAGTACATGTTGTCCGATAAATGGGATCCAACTTAGCTGCAGGATAGGCTCTGGTTAGTGACGTATTCAATCTTCTCTTGACTATTCCTGCAATATTTTCAACTTGAAAATCGAGTTAGATGAAGACGGGCTTTTTCCCCACCGTGATTTGTTTGACATTTGAGCTTTCATATCTCCCGTACTTGTTAATGAATCTTTGAGGGTAATCATTAATCTGGATGGAGAGGAGGAGTAGTGTTACTCTACAACAATAACTAGGATTTCTGTGAGGTTTGCAGTGAGCCAGCCACAATTGATGTATGGGAACTAAACGGTGGGGTGTACTAGCCTGCTGCTTCCGAAACCTGAGTGTAGGTGAAACTGGATTGGATTCTGTGATGCAACGAGTTGAAGTCAAGTGCCTAGACCAATATAAGCTACAGCTCCATAAAGTATTCAATACATTAACTCTCGATTAATCAATGCCAATGTGCTCTCTGTCACTCACTCTCTCTCTCTCTCTCTCTCCTATGGCTCCGAAACATCATACACATGAAAGTGAAGCCAATAAGCTACTTTTCCATAGTAGGCAAAGTTATCACAGGTGTCGTTGACTCACTCACTTCTGTTTTGAACCATCATCCGTAATGTAATGCTTACCATACCCTACTCTGGCTAGATGAGAGAGAAGTACATAGTTGGTGTCTTCAGTTACCATGGAAATTGAACCTTAACCGAACTTCTAATGTACATATACGTACATGTTTTACCATTATCATTATGTATTATTTAACTTCATATATGTTTTCCATCTGTAGGAGTGTCTTACATACCTACTTACACAATTACATGAAGAGATGAGCAATTCTTCAATGCCTATGCCTAAGAGGAGTACTACAGAGGAGGTCCAGTTGAATGAAGTCGAAAGAAGTCAAAGTGATGAATCAGACTGGATGATAATTGATCGTGCTGGTAAGCACTATCCACAGGCTAGAAAAGTAGGCTCATATTGAAATATATATATGTTGATTTATTTATTTAGAATACTTTTTGTTTGTTTGCCAGTATTATTAATTTCTTTTAATAATAATTGACTTGTTGAAAAGTAAATCTTATCAATGCTATGAGATGATTCAATAATTAACTAATTAATTAATCAATACTTCTGTTGTTAACTTTTGAGTAGTAAGTGAGAATTATTATTATTATTGTTCCCTTGGGTTGCTAGTGGAACATAGGGCTTCAACTGCACGCCTCCACTTGCTTCTGTCTTCTGCTGTACTTTTCACCTGCATTCATGTTAGTCCATACTGTTTCAGCTCCTCTTCACACGATCTCCTCCATGTCACCCTTGGACGTCCCACTCGCCGCTTCCCTTTCGGGTTCCACTCGAGTAATGGCCTGACGCGCGATGTCACCCAGCGGCCTCCTCAACGAGTGTCCAATCCATCTCCACTTTCTCCTGCATATTTGTTGGGCGATTGGTTCTTCTTTCGTTTGTCCCCATAGTTTCTTGTTGGTTCTTGTTCTTTCCGGCCATCTGATCTTCAGTATGGAGCGAAGACAGCTGTTGATAAAGGTCTGCAACAGGTTGTTGGAAATATTCTTTGTGACTCGCCAAGTTTGTGATTCGTATAGAAGAACTGACTGACTTGACGTTTGTATTGAAAATCCGAATTTTATTGTTGATGCTGAGTGACGAAGATTTCCAGATTGGTTTCAGGTTGATGAATGTGTTTCTCGCCTTTCCGATTCTCGATTTGACATCTTCGTCCGTTCCTCCTGTAGTTGAGACAATGCTCCGTAGATAAGTGAGTGAAGTAACCTTTTTCAAATCCCTTCACTATCATGTCAAGTGATCTACAACGGAAAACTCAGCCAGGCGTTTGGAGTAAACATAGGAGTCAGACAAGGGTGCTTATTATCACCAATGATATTCCTAATTGTGGTGGACTGGATTATGCGTCAGACAGTGGGAAACGAGAAGACAGGGATATCCTGGACCGACGTGAAGAATCTAGAAGACCTGGATTTCGCGCGTGGATGATTTATGTTTGATGTCACACAAAATCGAAGACTTACAAGCGAAAACCGACAAACTGGTAGAAGAAGCAGCCAGAGAAGACAGGACTGCAGGTGAACATAGACAAGACGGAGGTTATGAAAATAACCAACCAACAACAACAACAGCAGCGACATCCAACGCCGATCACCATCAACGGGAGGGATTTGAAAGTAAGAATTACAGCACACAAATATTTAACCAAGTGTTGATTTGCAGGGATTTGATATGATTGGTTACAAGATTTCATCATGAGCTGACATGGGGGTTAGCGAACCACTGAAGACCAACACTGGAGTACTGAACAGGCGTTTCGTCAGCCTACTATGGGACTTTGCAGGTATCTAGTTACCTTGGTTCTAGTGAGAAGTCGTGACCAGTGGGGTACAGCTGGTTGGTTGTGAGTAAAACTACTCGCCACGAATGACATTGGCTAGTGGTTGCGCTATATCATGAATTGGCAGAAGTGTGAATTCATACGCTGGCCATTGGATTAGGTCCCAGTGGATGAATGGTCTATGGGCTCGCCTTGTAACCTGAAGGTCCTGGGTTCGAACCACAGTGGGATGGGTGCATAGTGGCGATGAGTCTCGAACAAGGGTGACGAAACAGCTGTTCAGTACGCCAGTGCTGGTTTTCAATGGTTCTCTAACTATTAATAATGTGTTAAAATGCAAATTAGATGGAAATGATTATTATTGTTAGCTTGTGTGTTGTTATGATATGATTGCTTGTTTCGCATCTGACTGCATTTACAAGCACTAGAGAATGCATAAAGAATATATATATTTAAAGCCAAAGATACCTGTAATATACAAATTCTTTTTTTATTCCCTTGAGTTCCAAGTGGAACATAAGGCTTCAAGCTGAAGCTTTGAAGTTTTAGTAGCAGTGGTGTTTTTTTTTCACAGGGTGGGGTTTCTAGCTTCATACCCACACTTCCTTCTCTGTCGGGCTTATAATCGGCTAGGGAAGGTAAAGGAATGCGTTGACCAGGGATCGAACCCTGGACCACATGCGCTTGGTCAAGCGAGCATTCTACCGCTGAGCCACTGACGCACATTCTACAAACTAGTTTATTAAAGTTGTTCATTCAGTAGATGTGAGCACATATTTTCTTATACTTAGTACGAATCGGTTCGTTGTTCTGGTGTATTCATTACTCTAATTTGATTCATGACAAATTCCCATCCAAACATTATTGGAAAACAAAACACGTGGTTTGACGAAGAGGCTCTTTTCGGCGAACTCATTTTCCCTACCTGACAATCGCACTTGCATACAATCTCCTTTTCATGAAAGGGGGTAGTAATAAAAATGATGAGTAGTCATGTAGTTAATATCAGTCAGTGCATAAAAAGATTTGAGTAAGTATATTATAGTTACGTAACAAGATGAATAATGTAATGGATGAGTTGTAATTTGGATGCATACAGAAACGAAGGAGAATATGGAATTATGCAAGAGTCCTAAAGAAACACAATAGTCATAAAAACAAATCAGTTCAGTAGAAATCAACAATGAGGTCACCTGGATAGTAAGAGTGGTTGAACAATTTTCTTTCCTATGCACAATTCCGATTTTTCTAACTGAACGAAAGAGTATTGCATTTGGTAGGTTGTTCTTCACTTTTTAGATTACTTTGGAGGAAGAAGAGGTGTCTGTTGAGATGGAATGACCAGTGTTGACAATAGTGTTCGGTTGTCGCATTCCTTATGGAACCAATACTATCTTTCGGCAGTTAGGCTGTGAAACAGCTACATTTATGTTGTCTGAGTGTATCGTCTACCATGCGGAATGTGTGTCATTTGTTTGTGGTGGGCGAAATCGACTGAGAAGTAAGTGAAGCGTGGCCAACCAAACCGTGGAGTCAGTGAATTTTGGTTTGGGTGGACAGTGCTGCAGGAGGGTGGAAATTGAATTTATCTAACTGTGATCCATGTAACAAGTATGATGTGTCTGAAAAGCATTCACGCCTGGTGTTTATCTCTTCAAGGGAATCCTGAAGAGCAGTTCGCCTCAGCATATATGGGGTTTGTATATTCATCTATAATAATAATATCTGTGTTAGGTGTCGCACTGGGGTCAACCATTTTGAAGGCTACTCACTAACATCTCGAAACGGCACAGATAGGCTGGGAATTCAGACAAAGGTGAAAGGTTGATGAAAGTGAAGACGCCAAGGACAGCCAAAGGAAAACACAGTAGTCTATGTATAAAAATAAGGATAAGGTCGAAAAGAGATGCGTCACTTGAAACATCATTAATATTCGAAATCATTGTTAGGAGCGTGCAATTAGTTTCACTGACAGTTCGTTGTTTCGTTTCGTTGATTGTGTGCAGGCTGAGATGCTGCCTCGGCACCTAGACTGAAGCAGGTGGTTGTCTTAAGGGACCACCCCCGAGCCTTTGACTTGGAGTCTAATCCGCAAGGTAGCGGAGCAGCGTCAGGGGCTACATTCTCCTGGTTACCGATGACCATAATCATAACACCTCTTTGCATAAATCGATTTACATGATGTCGGTATGGGGGTTATAAATGCTGTGCTCACAATCAATCAATATGTATTAACCCCTTCGCGGGAATTAAACTTTTTATTTTATTCTTCTTGTTATTTATTATTATTATTATTATTCAGATAGAACTTGATGGTGGTCAGAGTCCAATTTCCTCATTATTCTGTGGTACACTAGTTACTCGTTCTAATCTAGTCAAATCGTCAGACAACTATTCACCTGTTGGTAAACCTTGTGAACGGGAGAGAAAAAAAGTCTCCGTGAAAGAGCCTTTCTTTATTCTACCTGTGCCTATAGATGATCCATCGGTAAGTTGTTATTAGCCATTACTCAACATTTTTATTTCTAGTAAATTTTCAAGTATTCGTTTTGTAGGGATTTCGCTTGATTGCATGGAGGGTTTCATCATAAGCTGACATCAGTTAGAGAACCACTGGAAAACCTGCAGGGAGTACTGGACGGCTGTTTCGTCCTAGTTTGAGACTATTCATCAGTACGCACCCACCGGGATTGAAACCCATGACCCTCTGGTTACAAGGTGAGCTCGTAGACCATTGAGCCACTGGGACCCGATCCAATGGTCCTTGAATTCTAGCTTCTGCCAATTCACGACATAGCGCGACCATTTTGCAATGTCTTCTTCGATGAGTTACTGCCTCATCTTCAACCTGCTGTACCCTACTGGTCACGGCTTCCCACTAGAACCCCAGGTTAAGTGCCTGAATAGGACCAGTCGCTAGTGAGCATCAGATTAATTTTGTAGTAAATTAAATGTCCTCATCGTGTGTGTAATCAGAAGATAAATTTGGAGGGGACAATTGTTTTCGATAACTACTTCTCCTTCAGGCTCTTTACACAGTTATAAATCCATGAATCCATTAGAATACAACAAATAGCCAACCAGTAAAGGCAAATGAAATGAAATATCAGAGACTGTATTGGGGTACTTGTGTAAGATGGAATGGTAGTCCGTTAGTTGAGATTGTCAATTGGATGTATGTAAAGTGTGCAGTCATTCAGAACACAAGAAAAAATGTGAATATAGGAGTGATCACGATGTGACATCGGTTAGAGAACCATTGGAAATTTAAAGCAATTAGTTCCCTTTATGAATTTCGACAACACAATAAGAAGACGTAGTTTATCTGAAACGTGTAATGTATTGGTGCAACACATTTCGGACATTCTGATCACACACGTACTTGTCATACACAGTTTATATACAATGCAAGAAGGCATGAATAATTACACTACGGGTCAGATTGTATACAGGTCAAGGTCACAAATAATGGGTAGAAAGACACAAAAGGTGTGGGTAAGAAAGATAAAAGGAGAAAAAACAAGGCAAAGAAGGGGTTGAAAATATTAGGAAGTAAATTAGACCTTGGTTCTAAATTGGATTACCAAGGCAGGTTTAAAGTGAGAACAAATAATTTTTGGACACATAAGACAGGTTTAAGTCTTTTTATGGCTAAGGCTTCAATGAATTTAAGTATGTGGCCCAACCTTGTTTTATATATCGGCTTAAAGTCACTGTTGAAATCAACCTTATGATCCGTCTCTGTAATATGCTTGGCTATAGATGATGTTGGACATCTATTTCCGGGTTCAATTGTGTCTGGCGATTTCAATTGTTACTGTAGCCCCTTTGGAATGTGTTCTGTAGCCCTAACCTGCTGAGAGACCGATGGGTCCTCCCTATGTACGTGTCTCCACACATACATGTAAATTGATAAACACAGTGGGATGTGACACTATCGTTCGGATGATGTGAGGGTTTACAGAACAGCATAGTTCTCGTTTTCTCTATGAAGATAAGTTTAGTTGCATAATAGGTTCTATTAATTGCGGCCTTTAGTCTTTGTCTAGTGACTAGACTTCGTTGATCACCTCTGAACGGTAAGGATATGTAAACATCCTTTTTGGGAGCTGATTGGATTGGTAAAGCTTTATGGTTAACACTTCCGTAACGTCTAATAAATCTCAGTGGGTAATTGTTGTCTAACAATATTTCAGTGAGGTGTTGCCTTTCTTCTTCAATTGCATCGGCAGTACATATACGGTGAATGCGCTTGAACAAACATTTAACCAACGCCTTCTTATACTGTAGTGGACAGAAACTATGATAATTTAGGTACTGTCCCGTCCATGTGGATTTTCTGTAGACAGATCGTTTTAATGACCCATCTTCTCTGCGGGTTATTAGTACATCTAGTACATCACCTTTTGTGTCTCCCTACCCATTATTTGTGACCTTGACCTGCATACAATCTGACCTGTATTGTAATTATTCATGCCTTCTTGCATTATATATAAAAACTGTGTATAACAAGTACGTGTATGATCAGAATGTCCGAAATGTGTTGCGCTAATACATTACACGTTTCAGATAAACTACGTCTTCTTATTGTGTTGTCGAAAACCATTGGAAAACCAGTACTCGAGTACTGGCTGGACAACTATTTCATCAGCGTAATTTAGAACTCGTCGACAGTACACACCCAATCAAATGGGGGTTTGAACCCAGGACTTTCCGGTTACGAGGCGAGCTCGTAGATCATTCAACCACTTGGATCTGACTCAATGGTTCATGAATAATTCCAACTCCTGCCAATTCGTGATATGCATTTAGCGCGACTGGCACCAGCCCATGTGTCCTCAATCACTAACGAGTGGACCCCAATAGTCACAACTCATTAGAACTGCAGGCAGGTAGCATTGTATTGCAGCCAGCTACTAGTGAGCATTAGATATATGTATTAACATCTGAGCATTTGAGTAGTTTTCAGAATTTTTGGTAGCTAACGCTAAATGACAGTGATGATAATGGCGATATGGATGAAATTGGCGCCCAACCCAGCCTTATCAAGTTGTTCTCACCTTTCTCATGATATTTTATTCACTCACTGTGGCCTTGATTTTTCAACAGTGGTAGTCTGGATTAGTGCATCTTTGTGAAATTCACTACGCTGAGATGATCTATGCTAGTCGCATTTAAAGCCATTACTAAAACAGGTGTTTGGAGAACTTTATCTAATCAATTCTCAAGCTTTTCAACCCATATATATATATATATCTTGTACGGTCTGCCCGCCTAGAAAGTTCTTTAATCATATGTTGCTTTTACTTTCCTTCATTTTGATGATTCCATTTCCCCCCTCACCCTACCCTACAGGCCACCTCTGTTGAATCTGCTTTACGATGTTTAGCTGAACCGGAACAAATTACAGATTACCAGGATTCTTTCGGCGGACAACAGGCAGTTGTTCATCGTCGATCAACATTAGATCGTCTTCCACCGTATCTTATTTTACAATTGAAAAGATTTTACAATGAATCGAAACCAACACCATCACAGTCATCTGTAAAAATGAATGTCAATGGAGCTGTAAATGTTACGCATAATGATGATATTGTTGTTGGTGGTGGCATTCGTCAGACAGCGTCATCAGCGATTATTCGTAAACACTTAAAATCAGTTAATATTCAATCGAAACTAGTTATACCTAAAGGTGAGTTGTCCCAGTGATAATACTGATGATAATGATGATATAGTCTTGCCTACTTTGCCATAGTTTTTACTTGGATTTATGTATATCAAAAGGTGGGCAGAGATGTAGTTGATTATCGACTTTCAGCCACTAAATGATGCTGAATTGAGATTCAAGTTCCATGCGTCAACTATTTCAACTTGAGAAACTGAACAGTACTAGTTGTAGTAGTAGTAGTGTTATCAGGCCCAACGCCGCAACATGTTATTGGTGGTAGTCTTTGAATTTCATAATTTTTTGAGGTATCTTGTCAAGGGCTGTTGTTATGAAGAATCATCAGCGGATTATAGTTGTTACCTATTGCATTCATATATTTCCAATGGCTAATATTTACTGTCAACACTTTCACTAATTCATTGCACAACTGAGGGAAATATTGCTCTTCTTTGGAAATAATGGTGGTAAAGGGGGTGGGTGGTTGAAGGTGGTTTTATGAGTAAAAATTTATCTGTAGTACCAAAATTTCGCTTTTTGAAGATGATGATGTGATGCGCTGAATAAAGATTTCACCAGTCTTGATTGCATGAAGGAAATAAACAATCTGTATCGGTGTAAACTAATAGTCAATCAAGTATCTTTGAAAAATCAAATCAAAAACAGGATATCACTCTCAGCTGAAATCGATTAGAGAACCGTTGGGGAACCTGAAAGTACAAGACAGCTGATTCGTCCTAGTTTGGGACTCCCCAATGGCACACATCCACCGAGGTTCGAACCCCGAAATCATGTAACCAATCAAATCCCTGTGAACCAACACTTGAGTGTAAATCAAGAACACTTCTGTATCAGAGAGAAAAGAACGACAAGCTCAACAAACTGATAGATCCATGGTTAATGTTGTGGTTAGATTAGTTTCTTTTGAACACACAACTCTGGCTTTTCATTGCATATGGCGACGGTTTCTGCAGTACAAAAAGTCGGAAATACACTGTCTTTGGTAGACTTTTGTTTACTTTGTAAATGACTGAGTGATGAGTGAGTTGAGATGCTATGGCAGTTGTTGATGAGGTGTTGGATTATGGCGCTTCTGATCCAACCCGTGCCTCCTGTTTGAAGCCATGCTATGGGTAATGTTCTCTAACACGTTCTGAAAGGACGCGCATCGAACAAACTATACACCTAGCTCTGCACGAGCAGATGAACTGATATATGCACATTGGAGTAGCCATATACGTGAGTTTGTCACTCACATTGGGCGACTAGAGAATATCACTCTTACAGTTACTGCAGGAAGAGTCTTCTTTAGGGAACTAGAGATTCTCCTATCAAGGATATCTGCCGCTAAGTCTCCTGAAATCCAGTCAGATTCAAATACAGTGTTTTCTTTGCCACTGAAGTGTTTTCTTCTCTTTACCGCTTTCGTCTCGTGTTCTTCTCCATGAAACGTGATGGGTGTCCATTTTGAGTCTAATGAGTTAAAACATCCAAATCTAAGCTCTTCAGGCTTGCATAGGTAGGTAGACAATGACAGCTTTGAAAATAAACCATCCAGCTGAGAGAACACAACTCCACCCAATATCTCATCCATCTGAGTTGCAAATCTTCTCAGTCATTTCTGAAGCTAACAGCTATCGATTATTGTGAAACTGTATGTGTTTGTATGTTAGTCTTTTGATGAGAATATGGTGGAGATTTGAGTAAGCTGATAAGTTTCATAAATCATTGGGCAACATTGAAGAATAGACATCAAAGTCAAACGACCTTGAGCTAACCAATCAGATCGCTCAGCATTACAAATGGATGCTTTTCATAATCTTCGTTGCAGGTTTCATCATACCTCTAATCTTCGTTTCAAGATTCACTCTAACCTTAACCATATAACCCTGCCTTAAGCCTACCCTAACCTTAACCCAGAATCAGAATGAAACTTCGAACGAAGATTATGAAAAACATCCTTTTGTAATGCTGAGCGATCTGATTGGTTGACTCAAGGTCGTTTGACTTTGCTGTCTGTTCTCTACCCGTTGCCAATCATTTTGGAGGAAGATTTCAGTAAATTTATGTTTGCTCAGTGGGAGGGGGGTGTAATATTTCTCAGAGTTCTTTTATTGGCTATATAGTTTAGTTTGTAAGGGTTAGTTTTGTTCTTACGAGTTGATCACGGAGAACCATTGAAAACCAGAGTTGGAGTACTGGACAGCTGTTTCATCCTAGTTTGGGAATCATCGGTGGCACGCACCCACCATCCGGGTTCGAACCCAGGACCTTCCGGTTACAAGGCAAGCTAGCTCGTATACCATTCAGCCACTGGGACCCGATTCAATGGCTCATGAGCTCTAGCTTCTACCAATTCGTGATTTAGCGCGACTCCAACCATTGTCGTAGGTGGGACATCCAACCTCACTCGTGACATCTGGATGGACCTTACTGATCACGACTTCTCACTAGAACTCCAGATAACTCCATCCTGTAGCCAGTAACTAGCGCTAAATCACGAATTGGTAGAAGTTAGAATTCATGAGCCATTGAACTAGGTCCCAGTGGCTGAATTGTTTACGAGCTTGCGTTGTAACCGGAAGGTACTGGGTTCGAATCCCAGTGGGTGCGTGCAGTCAATGATTCCCAAACTAGAATGAAACAACTGTCCAGTACTCCCTGGTTTTTAATGGTTCTCTATATTGGTAATGTTTAATCTGGTGTATTCATTTTTTATTCGTTTAATTTCTTCATATTGTCTGTCCCTTTTTTTATTAGAGTTGCTTAGTCAAGAAACACGATTTAACAGTTCACAACGTCACTATCGTCTATTGGCTGTGATATTCCATGTCGGTGAGACTGTAGCCTCAGGTCATTATACAATTGCTGTACATATGAATAATCATTTAATCAAAGATGGCGAGAACACAACAGCATTCTTATACTTTGATGATGATCGTGCTTGTATTCTGAATACTCCAGAAAGTGTAAATCTTTTACTATCAACCCATCGTCCATTGGATACACGAAGTTGTACATTTCTTCCCCTACCATCATCTTCATCCTCTAAGCAACAATCTCGAGTTGATTTTGGGTCGACGGCGACCAGTCAACATACACCAGCTTCCAGTGTTGTCTATTCAACTAAGCCTCGAACACCGTATATCCTTGTTTATGAATCTCAAACAGTGTACTCACCAGCAGGCTGACAATGATAATGGTGGTATTTTGATTGTAAGCGAGTGTGTTTTTACACCTAATCAAATTTTACCTCTGTCCTTTGTGTTTATATTCTTCCCCACCCCACCCGCATGTGTAAAGCATTTTCTTTCTTTCTTTTCACGTATTATTTTTCCTTTAGCTCTTCTTTTTGTTTTTACCTGAAACTTTCAATGTGTGTACTTGTACACCCAGCAGAACACAGACTGAACACACCCCCGAATTCCTTCCACAATAACTAATTTCTGTTTATTATTAGTTTTAATGTTTCCTTATTATTCTACATCTAAGCATGGATGGGGATTTCATTTGGTATATTACTAATTGGGTTTTTCAGTAGTGATGATAAATTCGGAAAAAAGTAAAGATAAATTTAATTATTTTTAAAGCTGATATATAGTTGATTGGCTGTAATATGAGTATACTGAAATCCGTACCAGTCAATGATTGAGTGACTTGTTTATTTCAGAGCCAATCCAATCCTTTTCTCGAAGTTACGGATCCAATTATTGCTGACTTCGCTTACCAGTATTGTTCAGTTGTTAGAGGCTGTTCACCTTGGAGACCTAGTGCGGATATGGTGCTACCTGCCACGAAAATTTTGCTGCCTTTTTCGCATTTTCAAGGGCCGACACGAGCGTTCTAGACACCACAAGATGGATGGTGCTTTACGGAGGCCCCCTATCTACGGACAATCCGATTCCGGAGAGTGAATTTACTCCTAGCAAAGAAAAGTGAACCCTTTCCAGAACTCCCACCGACGTCTCCGAGCTCAGTTGCGTTACCGTTCTAGGCACACACTGAATCAAAGATCCAACATGCACCAATCTCCGTTAACAACGTCGGGAATATTAACCCGATTCCTTTTCGCTAAATGGAGCTGCGTTGCAAAAGTACAATATAGCAGCTACACTAAGAAAGCCTGCAAGCGGACAATGTCAGACACCTAATCTCTGTTCCAATTTACCGGAACATTCAGGACCGCCTGACTCATGGCCACTTACTGTTTCTATAGTACCCTTCTCCACTTCGGCCTTCAACGTTCTCACTTGAATACTTACCACTACCACTAAGACCTGCGCCTGTGGTTACTTCACCTAGGCTAATGCCTGAGGTTCCTGGCTATACATAGCAACCCTCCTATTTATCGTCGCTACTCCATGCCTGGGTCGGTGGCATAGCGGTTAGGACGCTTGCCGACCATGCATATGGTCCGGGGTTCGATCCCCGGCCGGCGCACTCCTTTACCTCACTAAGCCAGAACTAAAGCTGGTGAAGAGGAAAGGTTGGGCATGAGGCTAGCAACCCCATCCTGTAAAAATGAACACTGCTACAGAAACGTCAAGCCTCCAGCTTGAAGCCCTATGTTCCACTGGGAACGTGAAGGAATAAAAAAACTCCATGTCTGGACCAGGTCAGTTTTCCCTCACCCTGCTTAGGCCCAGTTTGCAGCAACGGTACGGTATAGGTCCAACTCTCGAGCGCTATCGATTTTCAGGGCTGGTTGTTTTGGAGATGAGTAAGTTGTTACACACTCCTTACCGGTTTCCGAATTCCATGGCCACTGTCCTGATACATGAACCAACCGACACCTTTTGCGATATCTCATGAGCGACGCGTTAGACACCTTAACCTCACGTTTGGTTCATCCGTCAGCGTCACTTTTGCTTACCAAAATTGGCCTACTTGGCACTCGTATTTAATGCGGCTTTTACTGGCTGACGCACAATTGCAAATTTTAGCTGGTTTTATCGTTTATCTACTGCCCTACTTTCACACACACACACGCACTGACTTGCAAACAGATACACATCAACAAGTACAATAAATGATACTGCTACTACTAGTTGTTGTTGTGTGTTTTCCTTTGGGAGTGTGCGTGCAAGTGATATGTTGAAGTTGTGTTTGCAGGAGAGTTTATTTGTCGGTGACTTACATCACGTTAAAAACGCCGTTTGCTCTTCAATGAGCGACGTTGGTTAGTCAACCCTCGATCCAGTTGCTACTTGCATGAGTGATGTAATGGGAAAGCCGATGGGCGACTGACTCACTAATAAGCACATTATTTGTCAAAATCACACACCTCAACACATACAACAAACAGACAGTAGCCACTGAACAGAAATACACACAGACGTGTACACCTTTGTATGTATTCAGACACAAACTGTCATTAGTTGGGTTCGCACTAAATCACGAACTGGTAGAAGTTAGAATTCATGGGCTTGCCATTGAATCGGATCCCAGTGGCTGAATGGTATACGAGCTAGCTTGGCTTGTAACTGGAAGCTCCTGGGTTCGAACCCGGGTGCTGGGTGCGTACTGATGATGATTTCCAAACTAGGATGAAACAGCTCCAACTCTGGTTTTCAATAGTTCTCTAACTGATATCAATAATCCGTGATCAACTCGTAAAAACCAAACTGTCAGTCAGAAATTACATAAAAACACATACATCTTCGAGACAGTCAACTACTCTCTCACACACACAGCCACACTAGATGCATTCGGATTGTATGTATGTATATTTGGAGTAGTCAATCGATTGCAGTGTTCAGTCGGTTGTCTGTCAGTATGTGACTGCATCAATCGTTGCACTGAAACGTACCTGGTTGATTCATTTAGCCAGCGTAGTGGTGTTGCCAATATCCTGTTTCTTCATTTGAAGTTTCCAGCTTGTTGAAGTTACAGAAAAAGAGATTTCCTTGCTGACTCGTGTGTTATTCTGTCTATCTGGATTCAACATAGAACTTGGCACCGAAGTGCAGCAGTTCGAGTTGCCACGTTCCAAATAGCACACAAAGGTAGACAAGAAAATGAGTGAAGGGAATCAATAGAGTTTCGACAAGTATAAGAGTGAAACAGAGTGAGTAATGGTAGAGAGGAATATGAAAGATTACAGAGACTGAATACATCTGCGTAAGCCATTGACAACGATTTTGAGCCATGTCACCTATTGTCTCCAGCCATTGATTCTTAGAGTCCCGAGGGCCGCAACCCGGAAGTCTGCATCTCCCTACCTGACTGCTCAGTTTAACTGTCAATGATTTCATGGATTGATGAGGCCATGTTTTTGTTTGGCATGGCACCACTTACTCTTTTCCAACCTGCACCTATATCAGCTAGTAATGCCCGTCGGGGGAGACGATGGTTAGGCATACGCAGCACGTGACCTAACCATCTCAATCTATGTAACTTTATAGCCTCTTCGATTGATTTTCCCTCTTTTCCCAACACTCTACGCCTGACGTCAACATTACTTACCTTATTATGCCACCTAACGTGGGAAAGAGATCGTAGACATCTATGATCAAAAACAGACAACCTTTTCATGTCTTCAACTCGTATTGGCCATGTTTCAGAGTCATAGAGAAGGACGGGGCGAACTGCTGAGCAGTACACACGTCCCTTGGTTGACAGCCGGATGTCACGCCTACGTCAGAGACGGTGTAAGTTAGCGAAAGCAGCCCGAGCTTTTTGGATCCGTGCTGAGATTTCGTCGCCAATCAGTCTGTTGGTGCTGATACAACTTCCCAAATAGGTGAAGTGGTCAACATGTTCTATCACTTCACTCCCTATCACTAAGCTAGGAGTTGGCGTAGTCCAGTGTTGGAATGACCAGTGTGTTAATAAACCGATGAAGTTGATGCAAAGAGTAATCATGAAATTGATGTTTTGAAACCATTTAAGTTAACTAGAGTTCAAGTTACTACGTATTCGGTAGTCATTCATTTTATCTAGTGAAGCCTTTTATTTTAACTAGCACAGACAAGTGTTGTGTTCTGACTTGTTCCGCGAGGGTGTGGGGGGGGGGAAGAGCTCATAGCACTAGAAGATATATGGTGTAAATAGTCGTATTCAGCCTTCAGTTGAATTACCTACTGCATTTCACTGTCGAAGATAAGTCAGCAGTTGTTAAATAACAACAGTGATAACGATGATACTTGAAGTTGAAGGTTCGTTATTACGGTTAATAGAAGAGATAATATTACTAGAAATTACAAACATTGGTGTATTTATTTTACAATAACGGCCAAATTACTAGTTAATGACTACATAAAAAGCATGTACTAATAAACATCCACTGGCCGGCTTGATTGTCAATCCACGTTAAGATCAATAGTCGTCTGGCTTACAAGTCGTGTATACAAAGAATTAAATCACCATCATCATGTCATCTCATGGTTGAACAAAAACTATTAAACTGAGCTGAATATTCTGTCAGTAATCCCAACAGGTTAAACACAGTATGAGTGTAGATATCAATATCAATGCGTGATCAATCTTGAAACCTCTTAGATACTGATAAACTAATGCATGGAAATTAATCTGATGCTCACTAGTGAGTGAGTGAGGGACTGACTACATGACGAAGCTGACTGAAGTTCTGGTGAGAAATCGGGACCATCGTTGGTCCACTAGGTCGTTTGTGAAGTCCAATTACTCGCCAATGACATTAGTTGGCAGTGGCGATAACCAAAGTAGCTAAGCGTGATGGAAGTTAGACTTTTTGGGTGTGAACAAAGCAAGAACAACACAGTGGTTTGTGCAGAATAAGAAGATGGTACCATCATTGCTTATTTCGTTGGCTTATCACCATCAGCTGTTTACAGCCTGAATAAGTTATGAGGTTTATGTACAGAAAAGTTTTAACATACTTGCAAATTTTACATGATGTCAGTTGACAGAGGGTTCCGTAATTAGTGAACAGTGCTCAGAAAACTACGCTTATATAGTTTTTACACAGGCAGTTCAAGTTTAAACAAAGATAAATGTATGTATACAGTGGTAAAGGAGTTACGTAATAAAGACGAGAGGTGCGTAAGATGCTGAGTGACTAATAGATTAAGTGACAGTGTACTGAGTTCAACTCAAATCACAGAAACGCGAGACAAACAAAATTACACTATATCAAAGGGTCACTCAGCATCTTACGCATCTCTTTTTTTATTACGTAACTTCTTTACCATTGTATGCATACATTTATTTTTGTTTAAACTTGAACCGCCTGTGTAAAAACTATATTAGCGCAATTTTTTGAGCACTGTTCACTAATCACGGAACCTTCCGTCACCTGACTTCATGTAAAATTTGCAAATATGTTAAAACTTTTCTGTACATAAACCTCATAATTTAGTTAGGCTGTAAGCAGTTGATGAGAAGCGCACGAAATGCACAAACCACTGTTGTTCTTGCTTTGTTCAAATTCATCAAGGGGAATAAACACATGAACTTTTTGGGTGATTGGATTCCTTCTGAGTGGCTGAATGGTCAGTGAAACTCGCCTCGTAACCTGAAAGTTATGGGTTTGATCCCTAGTGGGATCATGGGTGGAAGAGTCTCAGACTAGACGGACGAAAC